CACACACACACACACACACACATACACGCACTAATTCGTTGCTCTATCAGTTGTAACTGATATAACACATTTGTCATTGAACACGCCCGTACACAAAGACACACACATACCCACCTACAAATACAAAACGACACAGAGAAAAACTCATACACACACATACACACACACACATTCACCCCCCCTCCCCACACATACACACACACATACACTTAACCTCACAAGGTATCGGACAGAGCTGCTGCGTTCAGAGATCAAGAGGAGACTTCCGAAAGCTATTAACATGTGACTCAAGGTACCTTCTCGTCCTAAGTCGAAGACAGCATGTAGACTAGATCTTATGAACCCCTTTATATCTTATTAACCCCTTTATTGCTGAGACTTTTCCTTCTTCGTTTGTGCAGACAAGACTGCAGCAATTGTAATGTACGTTCAAGAAAACTATTTTATACACCCATAATATCTTTGCGTTTTATTAAAAGCAATGTAAGGTGTAGTTTTTGTAAGCTTTTTATGGCACTTGCACCACAAATGGGTCATACAAAGGCCGGAGATCAGAGGTGTTGCAAAAGAGTAAAAAATACACCAAAAAAAAAAGAAGGAGGAGAGATAAGTACGATAGATGTTTGACGGGAAAGAAGGAACAAATCACACCAGAGCACCCGCCAACCACCCATTATTACAAGTTAGCAACTGTGCAAGGTGTAGTTCAATATTTTCCAACATCATCTATAAAACAGTTGAACAACCCCCCGCTCTAAATTTAAAAAAAAACCCTTTGTTTTCAGCACCGCACAAAACTTCCCTATAACCTCCCTTTATTTTGCCTATGATTTGAATAAAAATTTGCATACATCATAATTTGTATATTATGTACTTTAAAATATGCAAATTCGTGTTTCGGATGTATGTATGACGATTCAAAATGGGTGGCGTTGGTAGCCTAGTGGTAAGGCTACCAGACCCGTAATCATGAGATTGCGGGTTCGGGGGTTCGAGCCTCAACTCGGTCCGACGTCGTGTCTTTGGTAAAGACACTTTACATGAATTGCTCATTTGGCTAGGTCCTTTCGAATATGGGCTTTAAACAGGGATATTCCGCCTCTGAAAAAAAACTAATAGTGTTGATAGGGGCTTTACACCTATACGATTTCACAAGTTTGGTTCAAAATGTGCCGCCAGATTGCCTTGGTCCGCAGCTGTTGATCGGACGTAGATGTCCACTACGGTCTTAAAGAGTTAAAGGAATGTGCTCCCATTTTTCAGATGCTCACGAGACGCTTTAAGTTTCTGTAGACTGCATAGTGCTCATTATGTTCCCCTTTTGTCTGGCCACATTCATGCACTTATTTCTAATTAGATATAATAGTGCTATTTCGTTCCTTACTTCACACTTTGCTCTTCCATTTTTCCACATAATTGTGTGTTTGTGTGTGTGTGTGTTTATGTGTGTGTGCTTTTTTGTATGTGGGCGCATGTGTGTGAGTGCGTGTGTTTCTGTGAGTGTATGCGTGTGAGTGTGTGTGTGTGTGTGTGTGTGTGTGTGTGTGTGTGTGTGTGAGAGAGAGAGAGAGAGAGAGAGAGAGAGAGAGAGAGAGAGAGAGAGAGAGAGAGAGAGAGAGAAAGAAAGAGACAGCTTTAGAGAGAGAGAGAGAAAGAAAGAGAGAGAGAGACAGAGAGAGAGAGAAAGAGAGAAAGAGAGAGAGAAGTGCGTGTGTGTGTGTGTGTGTGTGTGTGTGTGTGTGTGTGTGTGTGTGTGTGCGTGCGTGCGTGCGTGCATGATTGCGTGTATGTGAGCGTGTGTGCATGTGTTTGCGAGGGGGGAAAAAAGCGAGCATGCGATTGCAAATTTAGCCATTTGTATTCATGTAGCTTGAATACATTGGCCTTTAGTACTTGGTTCTCTCTCCCCACGCCCCACCCCTCTTTCTATTAGTGTATATATATAAATACCGGTAAAATCTTCTTAATTCTTTTATAAATATTTCAAATACCTAAGAAATCTTGAATAAAGAAAAATATAGGATAGATACGGTAAAGGCACGGTAGTAACAACAAAATCGTAACAATTATTATCATTATTATTATTATTATTATTATTATTATTATTATTATTATTATTATTATATTAATTATTATTATTATTAAAAAATTACTATTATTATTAATCTACTTCTCAAGGCGCCAGCCATCAGAACCAACAGTAACATAATTGACAATATCAACAATATCAACAACAATAAAAAACAGCAGCGGCAGCAACAACACATCAACAACAGACAGCACCAACAAAAACAACAACAATAACTGCAGCAGTAGCAGAAACAACAACAATAACAACAACCACAACAACAAAAACAAAACAACAATAACAAAGACAGAACAACAGATCAACAATAGCACCAACAGAAACAACAACAACAACAAAAACTACAACAACAACGGATAAAAAAACAGCATTAACAGGAAAAAACCCAGCAATATTTAACCAACAGAAAAAACAACAACAACAACCACAAAACAACAACATCAACAACAACAACTCGGGAGTTTCTGGGGATGGCATCTCTTTGGGGAGGATTCAGGGAGGTTGGACTGCCCCATTCGCTACCCAAGTGAGACGGTGACCCTGGCGAAGAGCACGCTCTTCGGGGCTCCAAACATTTCGAACGGATAGGCTACCACACACACAACAACAACAACAACAACAACAACAACAACAACAAAAACAACAACAACAACAACAACAACGCATCAAAAACAGCATTGACAGGGGAAAGACAGCAAAAATAAACCAAAAGAAAAAACAGCAACAACAAAAACAACAATAACAACAACAACTATTACAACCTTTAACACGGGCAGCCTCTACAATTTTTCCTGGCTGCACCAGCAAAAGCAACTGGTTGGAAACAACACTGTTCTCTCTAGCTACCGTTATACAGCGGTATTCCATTAGAACCCACGGAAGCCTCAGAGTGTTTAATAATTGGATTTCTCCTGGACAGGATCGCACGCGCTACTTCGCCAGAGTACGGACAATGCAATCACCGATGGCTAGTAGAAGACATCCTCTTTTGACCCCCCCCCCCAAAAAAAAAATAATTAATAAATAAATAAATATTAAAAACAATTATTATATCCCCTTTTTTGTCCTTCGTATTTGGTTTAATAGCAACGTCGCATTTCAAAGTTCAACTCGAAAGAGAATTTAGCAAAAGATTTGGTTGTTGTTGTTGTTGTTAGCGATCCAGTAGCATCTGGGCGTTAACTCTTCTGCACGATACCATTCTGTAATAGCTGCATGTCTGTTCTAATTGTTGTCTTGGGGAGTAAAGGCAGTTAGATGTGGGTGGTAGCTTGGGAAGAAAACATCTCCTTAAATCAGGTAGTTTTCTACAGAAGAACAGACGATGTTCCACT